TGGGCCAAGCAACTACTTACTATCAGGTGGATTATGTGCTCGTTTGTCACCCTATCCTATAAAAAAATCTCAGGAATTTATTTGTACGCCATTGCAAATGGATAATCATTTTTTAAATTGTTTAGTCTGTCCGAGATAACCTTCATGGCTGAACCGATTGTGATGAAACTTTACAAGCTTATAGAGTTCAACGCCAGGAGTGATCTAAAATAAATTTGTATGCGATAAACTTGTAGGCATAGACCTAGAAAAAAGGGCGAACAGTCTCGCTAAAAAACAATTGACGCACCGCAATGGCGGCCGTGTAACTATGTGTGAGTAACTACGCGAGCGCGGATTGGAGCGTATGGCGGGCGGTAGACTTACTATGGTGTGCATGTGTGCGTGCCGGCTAGTTTGTATTAGCCGTACTGACTTAGTTTAGTTTAGTTTACGACGGACTGTTTTCCGCAACTCCACGTCTAAGCGCGTATTTTGCGTGTGGGCAGGAATACTATGGTTATTCGAGCCGAACTAACTTACTATGGGTGCATCAGTAATTGTTTTAAGAGACGGCGTCCGCCCTTTTTTCTAGGTCCATGCTTGTAGGTAGATTTTTTTGTGAAAGGGAGAAATTTATAATATTAAATGGTTATTAACTACATGACCCACGAAGCCGGGGCGAGTTACTAGTATTACAATACAGTAGTCTACTACCAGTAGAAGGCCGCTAGATCATTCTTGTTATTATAATCATAGTTAATATCACTTATTATAACATGTACGTTTTCAATGTTTAATTTAATTTCCCTTATACAATTTCACATGCAACTATGGCTATTGTCCTTTTATCGTCTATTTTAAATTAATGATTGTCTTTTTCTAATTTATATAACAGACATGCGAATGATTCATAGCATATACTTCAATTGATCTTCATCATCATCTTGCTCAGCTTTTAGAAGTCCTCTGCAGGTAATGGGCGTTGTTATTTATACATGGTAGAGCCTTAGTTTAGTAGAGCTACGCTGCAGGTCTAATGTGTTTGTAGGATGAATAGGTCCGCTCGGCCGTGGAAGAACCATGCCCTCATAGAAAGCGTAAAAAAAGCAAATTAATACTTCTATGTATGGTGAGTGTAGAGAAATGAATACCCATTTTACTGAAAATGAGGCATCCTATTTTAGTCCTGATGGGTGATAACGCACCTGCATTTTAGATGTATATACGAGTATCTATGGGCCACAGAACCCAATAACTATGAGGTAGAAAAATTACATCTTTTTATCTTACGTGTAGCGACGTCTTTTGACGCTTCTGTCCGCTGCCATTTATAGCTGGCCGTATACGCGGAGAGCCAAAAGATTTAACTCGAAGTTTCCTTATTCTCCTCTTATGACACGACAGAACGATAAATGGGGTGGCGGAGTTTCGTCCGCCGTTACCACAGAGCTAATCATCACTAAACTATAATCGGCATTAATTGTTGTGACGTAAATATGTTATATAGCTGTACTATAATTAAAAATTGTAATAGATCTTCTTGTAAATATTTGGGTGGAGTAATTATAATTTACGTCGACATCAGAGGCGGCAGAACTGAATTAATGGTGCAAATATAAGTCCCTGATAGATACTTATATCTGATACATAGTGGTCCCATTTGCTGTAGGGACTATCGGTCCGTGGAGTCTACGTGCGATGAAGTTCCTAAAGAAACCACGTCAACGAAACGCAGCCATCATTCTTGGAAATATGCTGCGGGGAGTAGGACTATATAATAATTTAAGTTTTGGAATATTTTATTTTTTACAAATAAATAAATATCTGCATAGTTATAAAACACAATTGCCCAATCGCCTATAACGTAAGATATAAAAGCTCTAAATTTCGGCTTGCAGTTTTCGGCGGAAACATTGAAATTGCTCCCACCCTCTTAAACTGAAGTCACTGAGAAATAGGTGGGATTTCTAATTATAATATCAAACAATTTAAAAGTTAGGATAATGTTGCAAGTACTTTGTTGTTAAGCAATTTCACAAGAAAAATTAACAAACGCACGCACAGTCATTCTGATGGCAAGAAAAAATTTAGAACCCATTATACCCCAAACCTATCTTTGCATAAGAATAAAATACAGCCTAAGCAATAATTAGTGACGTATGAGATAAAACGCCTCTCTTACTTTAACTATGAGTTAAGTAGATACCAATAAAATGTATTTATTAACTGATTACATTCTAATGTTCCGTGATTAAGGTGAATGTAATGGAAGCTAAGCAAAAAGTCTTGTGGCGTCCAAAAGGTAGCGCATACAAACAAAATTGAAGTCTCGATACTGTCTTACGCTAAATATAAAAAAAATTAAGTTGCAAAAGTGACAGTGAAGCACACGATCCAGATGACCATAAGAGGAGGCTGTGAGCCCTAGATACTCACATCTTTTATTGATTAAGAATCAAAATGTAAACGTGATGTCATCCCGGAGTACACATCACACAATCAATCGATGTTAAAGGTAAAAGTGTTGATGAGCCATAATATCCACTTACTGTCAGGTGTAATGGGTGACAAACATCGGCAATGTGATGCTTAATTGATGTTAAAGGTAAAAGTGTTGATGAGCCATAATATCCACTTACTGTCAGGTGTAATGTGTACTTCTTTTATAGTTCAATATGACATGACAACTCCGTGGCGCAGTGGCTTAGCAATGGGTTACAGGTTACAGCTCTAAGGGCGGGTTCGAATCCCGAACGGAACAGGTATTTGTATGGCCTACAAGTAATTGTTCAGGGACTGGATGTTTGTCCTTGTGAAATTTATGTTTGTAAACTGCCCCCACGATACAAAAGAAAATCCTAGTGTGAAGGTAACGTTTTTTTTTAAATATCAATAAAAAAGAAATGTACAATACCTGGTGGCCAAGAAAAAAAAACTCGGTCCATTCACCCTAGGAAATCAATCCGAGTAGTCCTGAGCAGTATCATGGTGCTATTTTACGCTGATAGTCTGTGAGAGTTGCACCGTGACTCTATCCCGATATATTCGATGCGTTGTACTGCATTTAGATTTGATTTTTCTACTGAAACTTTCAATTCGGGGTTGGCTAATTTGACTTAAAAACGAGATCTACGATATTTATAGGCAATATAATTCACCTAGGTACAAGGAAGTAACTTAGTATCAATAATTTATTTCGTTACTTAATTGTAAATCCTGATTAACGTGATTGTTTGTGTCTTAACCCAGACGCCTTCGGTGCACGCACGCATTCAAGCTGCCCCTCCCAAGCTCGGGGTAACCATTTCTTTTGAAGGAACACGGACTTCATTGCATAAAGGATATAATAATATTTGGAGCAAAGCGTTTCTAAGATTTTTTACTACAAATATTTTTTTTATAAAAGAATACTTGTATCGCTGGCAACATTACTAATACTCTCGGTAACCACTATAAGTAAGCTTAAAATGCAAGAACTGTTCTCCACAGCAATCGAATGGCAGATTCGAGCCCACGACTCCGAGTTTGCAGTTCAACCCCACCATTAGCGTACTGTTGCTTAAATTATATCAAGATTAAATAACCATTAGAAAGTATGAAATACAAGGTGGTACTAAATTTTTATAACGATCATTGTGTTGCAAGGTTCAGCGACTCTCAGGCAATAGAGCTCTCCTAAGTACGTAGAGTTTGTCGTGATCACCAATTATGGTAAATGAAGCGCTTGCAATATGAGACAATTCTCTCCTATTACATCCCCATTTCCAGCTATTAAAGGTATTGCAATCCAACGCATCTGTAAGCATTTCGGTTGTTAAAACTACATGGCCGGTCCATTGTCACGTCAAGTAGCGTTTGGCTAAGTCGGTTGTGCATCGTTACGGACTCTATCACGTTGAGTAACTCCAAACACATCGCTCGTCATAGCTCGCTTTAACTCGACTACCAGCTCTACCATTTTTTCTTATACATTGGTATAAATTTAAATTATAAAAGCCACATATTTGTAATGCAAATATATTTATTACCCACTTTTGTGTGATTTTTTTTTTACTTTTGATATCTTTATATAGTAAAAAGTACAAACTATTAACAATTGGAAGTGTACACATATCTATATACGAGCTAATCAATGAGCTGCTTATCTTTCATTTTGACAACAAACATTTTTACGTGGTAGAGCCATGCTACAGCTATATTTGTATGGTTGTAGCACGAATGAGTCGGCTCAACTGAAGAAGGACTATGTATGCCCTCAGAAAATACCAGCGTAAAATAGCAGTTGAGTGAAGTTGCATTTCGTTTGGTGAGTGTAGGGACCCGAAGACCTTTTTGTTGGAAACGAGGCATTCCATCTTAGTCCTCAGGGGTGGCTTGCTGTATGTTGATTCTTAATCGAGGATAAATGTAGATGTTTATGGGCCACAGCATCCACTTAACATCAGGTGGAATGTGTGCTCGTTATTAAAAAAACAACAAAATACTTGTAACATCGTCCTGATCCTATATATTATATCAAAGAATCACACCTATGAGGCAATCTATGGGTCTATGTTGAGCAGTGGACTTTAATAGACTTTAACGGTAACGATAAGTAGGTATACACGCAAACACAAGGGCACTCGCTCGTTCTAACTTACCCGTGTCCGATGTAATGCATACATAACTGATAAGAAAGGCTAAATGCATAAATCAGAGACTCGAAGATAATAATAATAATTCGATCAGACCCCGAGGATTATCAACTTGTGTTCTTTCACACATCCTAAGAACCAATTTGTAGTACACTGTGTAATACGAAAGAAGTGAATACATAATAACATACTAAAATATAAAAGAGGAATGCACGCGCGATTAACAGTCCATTAAAAACCAAAACAAGTCTGGTTACAATAAATACGTTAGAAACGGGACTGTCCGGTCAGATGTCGCACACCTGGCGATCCTCAGTCCCCGGCACATTACAACTCGCGTACGGACAGTGGACGGTGAACGCATAACGTCCGCAACCAGCCAGAATGCAGCACGTTTTCACGCTCGTCGTTTTAACTTGTAAGTACATACTTTCATACATTGTTTAGTTACAAGTTACAACGTAAACATTAACCGGTGCGTTTAGATGCGCTAGTGAGGTGTGAATGTGATGTGCGTCCTATATATTTCGTAAACGTATTGTAGAGTGTTCTTTACATTACATTGCTGGCGAAAGTTTGTTAAAGGACTTAAAATATTTAACGTAGAAAATAATATCACCTGATTTTTTTGTATTTATTATTTATTATACAAATATTTTTTTCGTATAAACATTAGATAAATTTGAAAAATTTAATTTTATCAATATTATTTTTTACAAAAAAATGTAGTCTTTTTTACAAAAGTTGTACATTTATAAATTGTTTTGCCACAGTAGTAAGAAGATCTTATTGTGACTTTAATGTATATTTTTCCTGACCACTACAAATATGTACTTTTTTGGTCAAGAAAAGAGCATTTTCTACTCACAGTGTGTTTACAATTTATGAAACAAACTTTTTTTTTCACTGATTTTATTACTTTAACACAACATACCTCAGTCGATACATTATTAACATACCGAAGAGCACTCTTTTTTAAGTATACTAACAGACATGCTTTGATGTTCTGTAGTATGAAAACTAATTAAAGTTAGATTTTTATTTATTTGTATAAAACTAAGTTTACGTGCTTAATTTATCGAAATTTGAACGATATTTTGCTAATTTGTAAATTAGCAAGTGCAAAATAATAAAAATGTATATGTAAGTATTACATACGTATTCAAGAGCGATTTCGTAATAAAGTTAATAAAGCAATAACTACCTATGCAACTGAGCACACTAATGTTTTATGAGGTTTCAATACCATCAATTATGAATAATGTTGTAACACGTAGCCTATTGAATGGAAATGTGTAAAACATACCTTTCATTTTAAAATATTATATCAAATTAATAAGTACTACAATACAATCGAAAAATAGACAAGCCCCATCAAAATTTATTTAAAAACAAAAATAATAACATCAAATTTCAATTAACAAATAGGTTATATACTTTAAAAATTTGTCTTCATTTTTCTTATGTAAAATATAAAAACCTGGCTCATTTTACAATCCAGAATTCGAAAGAACAATCAAATAAGAAATAAGTTAAAATATAGATTGTATTACATAATACAATCAATTTTATATTTATTCAGTCCAAAAAATAAATATAGAATAAAAAATCTTCCAAGGTTTTACTCAAATTCTATTATTTACTTTGAATGATATATTCACTTCTACTATTATATATATATATATATATATATGTATATATTAAATATATATTAATATAAATATATATTATTCTCGAAAAGAAAAAGAAATGAAAATTTTTATGATAATAAATCAATTACTTTAAAAAATCGATACACTAGCATAAGGCTATCATGGTTGTCAAAGGAAACTTCTGTCAGCTATCTCTCTGCACAGGGAGGACGACACACTGGCCCTTGCCTCAAAAGGCAAAGCCTGCTGGGTTCTGTGACGGGTATGACGGGGGGAACACACTGCCTACCATTCCGCGGTGGGAGTGCTCCGTACAAGATGTGCTGTTTACTCAACACTCGGTGCGCAGAGCACTCCTCTCCCTCGACGTCAACAAGTCGAGTGGACCTGATGGCGCCCCTCCTATTGTGCTGAAGACATGTGCTCCGGAGTTGGCACCGGTTTTAACGCGGTACTCCTACTCCCTAGGCGTAGTCCCGAAATCATGGATCATGGAAGGCAGCTTTCGTGCACCCGATCCCTGACAAAGGTAATCGCTCTGATCCGTCCAACTATAGGCCTATCGCTATCACCTCCTTATTCTCGAATAATGGAGTCCATTATTAACAGCCAGTTCATGCGGTATCTCGAGGATCACAAGCTGATTTTAGTGATCGCCAGTAGAGTTTCTGTCGGGGTCGCTCAGCTGTTGATCTTGTGAGTTACCTAACACATAAATGTGCGGAGGCAGTAGAGTTCAAGGGGGAGGTATTGGCCGTTAATTTGGACATAGCGAAGGCCTTCGATCGGGTTTGATACAAAGCGTTTCTTACGAAGCTTCCTTTCTAAAGGCTTCCCGAGAAATTGTACAATTAGATCACCAGTTTTCTTGCAGATCGGAGCATCAAGGTCATAGTAGACGGTGCATGCTCCGATTACAAGCCCATTACTGCTGGTGTTCCACAACGCTGCGTGCTATCACCAACGCTGTTTCTTCTACATATCAATAATATGTTCCAAACCGGTAACATTCATTGCTATGCGTACGACAGCACTGGTGATGCTTTATACACCGGCCGTGCCAATATTTCTCAAGAAAACGTCGCCGATTACCGAGACAACCTTGTATCCGAAGTCGAGACTTTGTTGACCAAAGTATTGGACTAGGGGCGACTAAATCTAGTCCAGTTCAATCCACAGAGGACACAAGTTTGTGCGTTTACCGTTAAAAAGAACTCCTTCGTAGTATCTCCTCAGTTTCAAGGCACTCCGCTTGTTGCCTCAGCCGGTACCGTAATCCTCGGCGATGACATATCGAGTGACGTGTAGTTTCATGGTCACTTGGAAGAAAAGGCCAAATTGGCTTCTAAAAAGATTGGCGTGCTCAACAGAGCTGGACAGTATTTCATGCCGACACACTGCCTGCTACTTTACAGGACGCAGGGTCGGCCGCGCATAGAATACTGGTCCCATCTCTGGGCCGGGGCTCCCCAGTGTCAGCTCCTTCCATTTGAACGCATCCAGCGCAGAGCCGTTCGAATCGTCCGCGACCTTTCACGATCTTTCCGATCAGCTTGACTCACTGGCACTGCGAAAATATGTAACATCTCTTTGCGTATTTTATCGCATTTACCACGGGGAGTGCTCTGAGGAATTATTCGATTAATTCCAGCCGCACAATTTCACCATCACATCATCATCATCATCATTACAGCCCTTCACAAGTCCACTGCTGAACATAGGCCTCCCCCAAAGTATGCCACAAAGCACGGTCCTGAGCCACCTGCATCCATCGACTTCCTGCATGTCTTATCAGGTCGTCACTCCATCTATTGGGGGGTCGCCCTACACCTCGCCTACCGGTACGAGGCTGCCACTCGAGAACCTTTTTTCCCCAACCCCCATTACATATCGTGACAAAACTCGCAATACCATCCATATCATCTGGAAGACTGGCGGTCCACCAATGTGCGATTTAAAAGAAAGTTTCTTCCTCGTACAACTTCCTTGTAGAATCTACTACCACCCGAGATTTTTTCGGTATCACCTTTTACCTTCAAGAAAAAAGCCTACTCTTTTTTAAAAGGCCGACAACGCATCTGCAACTCCCCTGGTATCGCAGTTGTTCATGGACGGCGGTAATCACTTACCATCTAATGAGATGTATGCTCGTTTGCCCCTCTCCTATAAAAGAAAAGAAAAAAATCTCGTTTCTGAACGCCATCTGTCCTTAAAGGACTTTTCATTTCGAAACTCTGACTTGACTATTCAAACTTCAAAACTATTAACTTAAAAGAAAAGAGCGATTTTCGATTCTTTCTTTTTTACAGGATAGGGTGACAAACGAGCACACAGTCCAACTGATGGTGTTTGCTGTGGCCCATAGACATCTACATGTATCCTCGATTATGAATAAAAATGCATCTCACCCCTGAGGACTAAGATAGTATGCCTCTTATCCAGTAAAAAGGGTTTCCGGTTTTCTACACTCACCATATGAAACGCAGCAGCGTTTTAAATTTTCGATTTGAAAGGAGCGCAATACAATCGATTCTAGATTAAATTGAACATTTTAACGTGTATTTTTATTACCTTGTTTGTTAACTAGGATGTTAAAATTTTTTTACACAATAATAAAATAAACAAAAATACAAAATATCAACATGATAAAATTAATAGTAACAACAATTAATCGAAGTCAGATCGATATGCCTAATATTTTCTTCACATGGTTATTGTTGTTTTAACTTCCGTTAATAATTTCACCATTTCGTTTCTACGGCTTTTCTTTAGCGATTTTATACTGATTCTGCTTTTAAATTGACCGGCATAGGCACCGAGACGACTGACCTGATACTATTTTGGAATAAGTTACACACATTTTGATTCCAAATTAACATCTTGGACCAATGATTTAATCGTAATACACTTATAGTAATTCGCATAGGTGAGCGAGTTTACAAATATAATTATATCTTTAAGTAATTATAGTACAAAATCGCGTGTTACAGCGTAGGTACGAGTAATACATAACCTCACTTTTACTTATACAGCCGACTCTCGTTAATTCGAAACTGGAGGGACTCTTAAAAGATTACATAAATTAATAGTTATCAAGTGTTTGAAATATCAAATAGTTCTAAATTTTTGAGAGAAAATAAATAAAGCTTCGAATTATTAAGTGGTGATCAATTGTTATTTATGTATTAACTGCTATTCTTTAACAGTAACAAAAGATTAGGGGTACATTCGTGTGCATATTCATAATGTGAATTAGTTAATCTTTCGAAAGAACTCTGTTATACTGGTTTGATTCAAAGCACATTACTGCTGCTCAGACTGCGCAATAACTTCTTTTAAGAGAAAAAGTGCCTTGAATAAAACTATAAGAAAATGTATAAAAAAACTGAAGGTAGCCGGGCTATCTGTGACATTAGGACGTCAAACATGTCAGTCCCCCCTGTGACCATGGGTGCTGTAAAACACCCGAAACGGCGGGATTTATAAATAAGTAAAAACAAGTGAATTAAACGCGATAAAATTCGTATAATATACAAATATTACACATATTTTATTTAATGTGTAGTGTTCGCGTAAATTTAAGAAATCATAAAAAAGTGTCTGTAATGCTTTTTCATCACTTTCGTTTTGTAGACATAAGCTTTGTAAGATATCGAATGAGGCTCTTGCTTCCTTAACTGTCACCACTGCCAACAGTCTAAGTAATCGAAGCTAAATTGAATACTGCATGACACTATCACTCTCAATTGAACTCTAAAAGTATTCG